ATATATATATATATATATATATATATATACACACAAAATGCTGACCGTATTAAGAAAAACTAAAAAAAACAAAGCAGTGACTTGCTTAAAAATGTATCTGGAGAAGCACAACACGGATCATTATGTTTGTACAACATAGGCTGATGGTATTTTTGCACATACTAGCACAGACTCTATGTTGGGGCAAGGACTGTAGAGTCTGCATATCAGGTTTAGTGTATCACAGCTCTTTTATAAACAATATTTTTCTCAGATTTAACACCTGCACACTGCTGACTCAGTCATACTATAGGGAGTTCTACCTTTGTGAATGATCAACTTTAAATGTTCTCCTGCAGCACGATGAACTCTTCTGAATGCAGCCTTGAAATGTCAATGAGAAGTGGAAGGCTGTGCTATTTTATATCTAAAAACAATAGGTCATCAGAACTAGAGCGAATATATTCACTGCTTTAAGAATCACCTCCGTTCTGGACAGGATATTTTACCTCTCTCCAATCATAATCATCTAATAACTAATCCATTTGTATTGTGGGACTTTTCACGTGATGAATATTTATTTGTTGAAAACGATTGAACCTTTATGAGTATTTGCTGCATATTATAATGTAATTATCATAAACTGAGAGCTCCAGGTTTAACATATGGCCCTTTTCCTCCGGCTCCACTCAGCCTTGCTCTACTCCACCCGGCCAATTGTCAAATGTTGCTATTACTGGTACTAAAAAAGCATTAATGGGAACTATTGGAAAATGGTTGGGTGGAGTAGAGCCAGGCCAAGTAGAGTCTGTGAAAAAGGAGCAATAGACACACCACAGATTTATCTAATTGCAAACATCCTGGTGGTGGAGAATAACGTTTTCCCATGGTCAAAGTTCATATTTTATAGGGTTTAGACTACATACGTTGGTTTTTACATATTATTCAAAAAAGAAACGAAATGTGGGGAGTGGCGGACTAGTGGCATTATGTTTGGAATCCTGAGGTTCTGAGTTCGAGTCCCACTCCCACAGATTGCCATTCTGGGTCTCTGAGCAAGACCCTTAACCCCACACTGCTCCCCGGGCGCTCCATGAAGGCGGCCACCGCTCCCCAAGGGCATGGGTTAAATGCAGAGGTAAAACTCTCCATTGTGGGATCAAAAAAGTTCAATTATTATTAATATACTGTTTTTCTGGGTGATAACCAACCATGGCTGCCGTCTTGGAGCGAATAACAGAATTAAGGAATAAATTCTTAACCCAGGATATAATGCAGCAAACAACTTTAGTCATTTACAGAAACCAAAACTGGGAATAAACAATTTTTATACTGTTTTATTTACTGGAATTATAATTTGATTTATGTAGAAGTCATTCATTCTTCAGAGGGTTAAAAATTAAACATTAAAGGTGGAATATTTTGGTTACTTGGTTTAATGTCATCAAATTTGATAACACTTTTTTCATCATAACAAAGACCTTTCTTATTCCTCCCATCTCCACATTTTAAACATTTAAGGTTAGCAGCTTCATTTACTCCAAAACCACCAGACTATCCCGGTTTCAACTATCAAACCCAAGCTGTTACACTAAGATGGACCAAAATTGGTTAACTGTATCACAATATTCTGTCTTATGCAATGTGATTTTTTCACATTGATTAAATATTTATATGTGTAAATAAACTTAGATGTTTTATATAAACATTTTATACACCTTTTGGCACTTTTATTATTTCATAGAAATGACTGAACAGGAACTGTAATTTTTTGTGATTATGTGTTAAATGCACTAGTTCTGCAGAGACTTTCATAGAACAGTATGTTGGGTTAAACGTGGAATTAAAGCCCAAAGCGGTTTGTTTCTTCTGTTAGCCGTACTTAATCTCAGTGTTTACCAGCAATACTGCAGCACTGGCTGAGAAATGCACTGGTTGAATTTCCTGACCTTGGAAATGATGCAGTTTGATTTTGGGGTAATGTGTGTTTTTGAGGCAGAGAGGAACAGTATGAGCTGCATCCGGGGAGCAGCAGAGGAGATAAGGAAGATTAACAGTAGCCGAGGTGACATTTTAAAACTGATGAGCAGAGATAAAACCCAAGTTCTGGAAATAAACCGCCACGCTCTGGGAAGTGGCCTTCTGCGAGCTGATAGTCACAGAGTGTCCCTACAGCAACCATTTCAGCAGAATACAGCCCGACCCTTCCCATTTGCACACATCCTCAACAGAGTCCCATACCTCTTTCTCCAGCTCCAACACCCTCTCATTCAGCAGCCTCTCTGATTCTCCTGTGGTGTGCCGCCGGGTCATGCAAGGGGCAGGATCTTTGCCCGTTTCAGGGCTTTGATCTAGTTGTGACATCTTTTGGCGCAACAGCTCTGAATTTGAAATGGGATGAGATGCGCTCGTCTTGAGCTGCTGTGAGAGCGACTCGGCTCTCTCCTGAGACTGCTTGAGAAAATCTGTTGTCGCCTTGAGCTCAGCCTCGGCTCTTTGTAACTTCTGCCTGAGGTCAACAACTTCGGCAGCCAGTTTCTGAGTACCACCCTGCTCATTGGATAGATCCTGCAGAGATTCAGGAGGGGATGGGAAAGTATTAAAAGATTAAAATCTTTGGAAAACAAAAGGAAAAACAATGCAGAAGAAGAATGAATATATCTCTATCTGTGAGAGTATTTGCAGAATCTCCGTCATATAAATCCTGGGATTTGTGGTCAAGAACAACCTTCCTTGCAACTTTATTATAGCTACTGTGGCAAGTGTAAGGCTGTTTATTTACAACAGCAGCTCCCAATCCTGGGTCCTGACCTGGATAATCCGATTTTTTGCACCTACAGAAAAGTTCCCCATTCAAAGCTGAATCTCTGTCTTGGTTAAATGAATGCATGAGCCTGGGAAGATGTTATTGTTTAAATGCAAACATACTTTAGTTTTATCTAGGTTGCTCTCAATGTTTTAACAAGACTGTTTCCAGTCAATATTTTTACTTCAGAATGACACAAAGCTACTGTAAGTTGACATACATAAAGTTTCTGTCAATCTAAGAAGTCAGATTTAGAAGAGCTCTAGCTGTAGGGTTCTTCAGGGTTCTACTTTCATCTAAAAGTGATGGCAATTAATGGAAATAGAGAGTTTTATTTCATAATTTTGGAAACTAAAGGAAAATAAATAGAAGTTCTCAAAAAAGGACATTTTTAAAATACAACTAAGATTAATTATGTTGACATGAAATACAAAAACTCTGAGGACTGCATTTTAGAACCCTGGACCAATATTCTGAAAACCACATCAAGAGCAGATTTAATTTTTATTATTTAATCCAAGCTTCAATGCACAAATCTCCAACAGCTTTGACCTTTTTTTGTGTCGCACAACTCTTTTTAACATTTTTAAGATTCTGCAGGACCTTGCAAAAATAGGTTACGATACATTTTCTTATTCCCTCTCCATCTCCCTTGTGGGGCTCAGTAAAAATTATATTACTGCAGGCCGCGAATGAAAATAAAACGCATTAAAAGTGCGTCACAAGCTGCTTTAATGACTTTTAGAAGGCTGTAATGCATTTATAAAACAAAGGGGGATGTATTTTTGGGATATATAGTTAGAGAGGGTTTTCTCCTGCAATGTGAAAATTGACATTGAGCATCAGGAATCTCTCAGTTGAACACTAATCCAATGCTTCCCAGTTCCCCAGTTTGCAGCACATGAATCAGAGCTACAGAAACTAATGACCCAAACTTCTAATGTGTTTGAGCATATTTAATATGCTAATCAAACAAGGGCATAATCACAACCCTCACTGTATTTGTAACTGATATTCTATGTCTTGTAACAATTACTAGAAAAATATGAAATTACCAACAAATAAAAAAAAAATAGAAATATTTCAGGACCTCTGTGAGGTGCTTTATGACCCACAGTGGGATCCTGATCCCATCTGTTCTCTGTACTGTGAGAAACTTCTTGTTCTCTGTGCATTTCTAGAAAACAGTGTCCACAAATAACTTATTAAAGAATGTTCAAGGGTCATCTACTTTCTTTTTTACTGTTGTGCATGTTTAAAATCTGAATTCTCTTGTGTGGATTCCTTTAGGTAGCTTTCTGAGATTCATCTCCTGCAGCAGATTCGTGGGAAACAATGAGCCTTTCTTTACACACACACCTGAGACAGCGAGCTGATCTTTGCCTGAGCTTCTGCATATTGCTCCTGCAGCTGCAGCTTCACCTCCTCCATGCCGTTCAGTCGAGAGCTGAGTTTTTTCTCCATGTCCTGCAGCTGAGTGCAGAGCTCCTTGGACTCAGTCAGTTGCTGACACACGCGTCTACACACCCACACAGCCAAGCACATACACCGACAGCAGATACATGGGTCAGAAGAGGGTTGACTGAAGGAAGATTTGACATTACAGAAAAACCAAGAGGCTCTCTCTGATGCCTTGTAAAAGTTAATTGCAGTATGAAGGTTAAATATGTGTACAGCAGTGGGCGCACCTGTGTTCAGCATCCAGAGCACACGCTCTCTGGTTGCTGTGCTCCAGGGCCAAGGTCGTGCTCTCCAGCTGCTGCCTCAGCCTCGTCGCCTCCCTCTCTCTCTGACGCCCCTCCTTCCGTTCACGGTCCAGCTCCGACTGGCACACATCCTTCTCCTGCTCCAGCCTCGAGGTCTCCAGCAGTGCCTGGTCTCTTGCTCGCACTAGAGACTCTGCTTCCAGGATGGCCTCACGGAGCTCTGCCTCAAGCTGCTCCTCCCGACGCCGCGACGCATCAAGACTGCGGCCTTGACGTTCCAGCTCTGCTCTCAAAGTCTGGGTTGTGAGCTCCAACTGGTCGGTCTGGTGAAAGGAGAGGATTTGAAAAGTGACATAAATTTATCCTGAGGAAATATAATGAGGAAGTAGTTTGAGCCAATAGCAAATAACTAGAGAGGGAAGTTAGGAATATGAAAACAGGCATGCAGCACTCATGTCATGTTATCAGGATTCAATATATTCTAAAGGTGGTCCCAAAAATTATAGTTTTTTATCCTGTATTCCTGAGAGGCACAATTATACATTGATAATGTGTTTGCCCCCCTACTAAAACAGAAACAGTCAAAGCAGTTGCTTTATACACAAAGCCACGTGTGTTTAAGCAACCAGGAGACTCTGGAGAAGCTGCAGAGATCCAAAGATGAAAATGGAGAATCAAATAAAACTTTAAAGTCATCCATCTTTCCTTAATCAGGACTGGTTGAAAGGAAGTTATTAATCAGGAAATATTTGTTACATGTTCTAGATGTGTTATTTTCACCTTGCCACAAAAATGAAACCTGTAAGAGAGTTGAGACTGCAGTGGAGGTTTACATTCACTGACCTAGTCAAAGTCCAGATCTACCGTAACTTAAAACGTTAGAACTGTAAATTGTAACTGTATTTTTTATATATATATATATATATATATATATATATATATATATATATATATATATATATATATA